GTTTTTTGATCAAATTCTTCATTTTCAAGATATATATATATATTATTTATATATATCTCTTTTAATTCTTTCAATAGCAGCCATTTTGAAATGGTTAAAAAAATACAAAAATAATTTTTTTTAGGTTCATTGTTACGTAATTTTACATGTCCGTACCAGATTTAAAGATTCTATGTTGAAGCGTTAAGAAGCTAAAAGGAAATTTGTAAAAAACATATAGGAGCAGATAATAGATGGAAAACTAGGCATGGGAGACCCATGGTTATATTGCAAAATCTGTTTGTTTCTATGCAAGGAACAATTCCCCAAAATGGGGTACAGGTTGTTAGTATAGTCTTGCAAGGGAATAATCCCCAAAACTTACAAAGCATTAATCTTTGTGGATTGCTCATAAGTACAAACACAAAACCCATTAATAAACATTGCTCATAAGCAACCTACAGTAAATGATCACACGTTAACACATTTAAACAATTATTTTAACAGTTATATGATTACAGCCAACCCATGGTGATGAATAACACTACAAATACAACTCTAGAAATTATATAATAGTTACACAGTAGAACCCCTCATATTCAACCATGACGGGACTGGGCCATGGTCGAAGGTTGGATATTGGGAGAAGCAAAACAACCCCTTTTTATGAGCAAGTCAGTTGATTTATTTTACAAAAAAACAATATATATGTTATGATGAATACGGTCACGTCGAATCGAGCCGAGCCAAGCGCATAAATAACATTTTTAACGGGTGAGGTTCATAATGTCCAAATTTCACAAACTCCAACGTCTAAAATATTAAATAAACAGTGCGTTTCATAACCTCCAAACTTCATAAACTCCAAAACTATAACTTTCAAATAAGCACAGTTTCACAATGTCCAAATTTCACAAACTCCAACTTTTAAATATCAAATAAACAGAGCGGTTCATAACCTCCAAGTTTCATAAGCTCCAACGGTACAGTCTCTGCCATAAGTCAATCGAATTGGCCGGATACCGAGGCGTACGGGCCGAATGAACCTCTCTGTTTTACACAAACATACATTCACTCAACCTGCTCTGCTACACTTATTTGTTAACATACAAATTTCAAATTGATATATTATTTTTCTGGAAAAACCAGTGCTCATTACTATGTAGCTAGTTTTTACCTTAACATAATTTTTATAATTTATTTAGGCAAATTAAAACAGATGATTGTTTTTTAACACCATAAAAAACATGAAAAATGTAGTAAGCGAGGAAATTTTTTATTTTTTGGTCAGGAAAAATATTTCTGCGGCAAAGTTTTAGATCAAAGTATGAATTTTATTTTTTATTTGAAGCTTTTTTTGATACGGAGCCTGCTTGTATCATTTTTAAGCGATTAAAAATAGGCATAAAATCGCTTGGCGCGGCATTGGCGCTAGGAGTTTGGCCGGCTCAGCATCAGTTTACGGGATATAGAAACTGAGTTTCTAGCATTTAATTATCATTATATTACATCAAATATGTCATTACATTACGAAGAATGGTAACTTAATTTACAGGCGTATGTTTGTGCATTTTAATGCTTACCGGTAGTCTATAGTTAACAAAATTCTTTGATATAAATGCTTCCCCGATTGTAATTTCGGAAATTGTCTTCGTGAAATATGAAAAGGCATATAAAGATGTGGAGATAATTTAAGTTCTTGGTAAAACCCACTGAATTAGCGACCTGGCCCAGTTATTATTTCTACTTTTATACTCCTTTCGTAAAGGTAAACTAAATTAGTGTAAATGCATCCCTTTGACTAAACTTTACCCTAGATTTGGTTCTGGTCAAAATAATATAAACAAAAATAGAAACTACTCTTATTCTAAGTTTATGTGGTGGAATTCCTGCTAAAAGTTCGATTGACTTTACATTCTATCGAAATAGGCCTATTTAAAACGTTCAGCGGGTTCATAGTTGAGACCATGGTTGAGACCACATTACAATACCTATTTATTTGCTTCTTCATCCTCTTTAGCCATTTAGTTGTTAGATAGTATTACATGTTATATTCAATGGATTTTATTTTAAAACATTTAACGAGTTTATATTCATCTATATTTGAAAAAGCTAATCAACGGCTCTCGTCTAACATTTTTGCCACTGCAGTGCATGGTTAGGGTTTGATTACCCATTTGTCGAAACTAATCACGAAATTACGTTTCTCCAGCATTGACAAGCATATAAAGAAAAGGAAACTACCTCAAAATATTACTGTTATAGGTTTTCCCTGTACTTTATTCATACTATGCATGCTAGTCTATATGATTTTAACCCCTTTTCCTTTGAGAAACAGAATGTACCTAGTTAAAACCTTCTCCAAACAAAATTAATTAATCCCGCTCACTGGAACTTGTCATAGTAATTGCTTTAGTGAAAAAATATATTATCTCTACGAACTTTTTTAGTTTAATTCTCAGGTTAGTTCCAGAGTAGCCGTTGAGGTCATTCCACTTTAAACAAAATATTGATTAAACACTAAAGTAAGCGTCAAATGTTTACAGAAACGTTTAGAATATATCATCTCATTATAATGTTTTTGAAATAAAAACAAAGCAGGAGTTTTCCATTTGATATTGAATCCATAATTAATTAGTGAAATAGTGATTTGTGTTGAAATTTTATTTGGCGTTTTCTGGTATCTTGGTTTTGTTGTTAAAGTTAGTGATGGTAAAAGGCCTAATTAAGTTCGCAGTTTACATGCCGATTTTGCATTTTTTTTTAAAGTCAGTAAAAGATAAATTAATTTTTATTTTGTCCTTAGGTAATTAAACATTAGTCCATACGGCACGCGTACGATTGTAGTTTCTTTCTACACGTTGCAAAATGCTAAATTGCCCTACATGTTTAAGCAATCTACAGAAACATTGTTTGTAAACAATTAAAAAATACAGGCTATTTTATGCATTAAACTATTGGCTACAACTTAGCCACTGGCAGAACCTCTCTAAACAAAACAAAAAATAGGCCTATATATTTTTTTGCAAAGTATGGTGTTTCCTCTTGACGATAGCTTCCCTCTTGACTGCAACGCCAGCAAGGCCGTGGTGCGAAATTTTTGCTGGACTGTACTTTTTCTTATCCAACCTAAACCCCTAATCAATTCGAGCTAAGTGCTGCATACATTTTAATTTATATTCACTGAAAAATTGAAATTCAGACTAGTTAAAGTTAAACTGTGTAATGAAATGTGATAATTTAAGGTAACATATTATAAATAATATTACAGAAACCCTTACAGTTAATAAAACACTATTCTACAAATTCTCTCCAGAAAGTAAATCTCATGAATAATTAACCACTACGGAAATCTATATATATAATACGCTAACAAAATCAAAATCAAAAAGTAAATCGGTCCCGGGCCTAGGTCTTACAATGCCACCTACGGTAATAGCTACTGTACTTTCTTATAGGGAAATTTGCTAAATAGAATCTAAAAACTATAAAAGGTACCTATCTAATAACTTGTTGAATTATTTACATTGAACACTATTTTTAAATAGAATATGCAATAATCGTTACAACAACAACAACTTCATACCTTAATATTTTATACGACAGTCAAAGACTCCACTGTTTGTGATTACGCATTTTTATTGGTAAATAAAAGGTATACAGTGCTTAGCTCTCCACTGAAAAGGCAAATCAAAATATAAATTATCACCTTGTCAAAACTTTAACATTATTGAACTAGCCACATTAAGTTGCAAAGAGAAACGAGACTGCTGTGAGTAAAAAAGTGTAAATACTCGAGTATGAGCTTTTATTGAAACGTGACCAGTATACCTACAATATGATGTATAAGTTAAATCCTACTTATAAAAATGTATTTCTGCGTTTATGTATGTTAGTCTCTACCTTTTTATGTAGTTTAAACTCATCCTTTTAGTGGGTAGAATGAATAAAGTACAAGGTTTTCGACACTTTTCTAACAAAGGGCTATTTTTACACATGACAAAAAAAACAACTGATGTAATCGTTATGAAATTTTAACAGCTATTAGAAAATATACTTATAAAACATATTTATATGTTTTAAAATTTTTCTTCGGTAAAAAAATCTCTTACGATATTTGTAATGTAATAATTGGCTTTTTAATTGAGATACGGAACAGTTAAGAAACTCAGCTGAAAGCTTGAATTAAAGGTATTAAAAATGTAAAAATGTAAATTTGATTTGCACATTATGTGCTAACACATATTTGAGTCACACAGCTGAATGTTCTTCAATCATAAAATGCACGTATAATCAGTAGTTGAGCGCTGGCGAACGGTGCCTGCTATCTGACTGTGGCAACCACTGTAGAGACTTCTGGCTCAGACTGTACCGTTGGAGGTTATGAAATTTGGACATTATGAACCGCACTGTTTATTTGGTATCTTAACGTTGGAGTTTGTGAATTTTGGACATTGTGAAACAGTGATTATTTGAATGTTATAGATTTGGAGCTTATGAAAATTGGAGGTTATGAACCGCTCTGGTTATTTAATATTTTAAGCGTTGGAGTTTGTGAAATTTGGAGTTTATGAAACGCTCCCTTTTTAACTATTTCACTATGTCAGCTAAATGTTTCACTGACGCCCGATCAAAAGTAGACATTTTACAGGAATCGTGGGAGACGATGTTACTGTGACTGTGGAAGTTGTTCAGTATTTACAATTTCACCGTGATGGCGGAAGATGTTCACGATTTCATCGCAACCAGGGAAGATGTTCTCGAAATCACCGTACCAGCAGAACAGGATTTTGCTGTGACCAAGGAAAACATTCCTGTTTTACCATGACCGCAAACTAAAATACGGTTTTCGCAGTGAAATTTTTAAATTTCTGGTGTTCCTGGGATTCCTGGTCTGTAGCCAGGGTGTAGGTCGGATATCCCAAGGAGTCAGTTATACCGTGGTTGGATATGATGGGTTCTACTGTACAAATGAACAAAATACTTTTTATATATTTATAATAGTTTGTGTTTTTACACAGATATGCCTTGTTGATAGTGGATAGTGCCATGTCACTTTATCGCACAGACTACTCAGGCCGAGGAGAGCTCTCTGCTAGACAGATGCATCTAGCTAGGTTCCTGCGAATGTTGCTTAGACTTGCTGACGAGGTGAGTAATAAACAGTACCTACTTAAATTATATTTCTTGTTAAAGATTTGTTTTGTTTTCTAATTTATTTATGAGGTTCTCAACCATCATGACTTAAGTGTTGATTGAGCTGCTCTAACAATTGTGACTCCAGTTAGATGGAACCACTGTGTTGAATTAGTTCGTAGTTTTGTGTGCTATTTCCTAGTTTGAAAAATTAATTAGTGTCAAAAGAAGATAAAGATGGATTGGCCATAAACATAGGAGGCATACAGGGCTATAATTTCCTACCTGAGGCTGCCAGTGGCCTCTGTATGGGAGAACTAACAGACTATTTTTATGCTTGAAAAATGTATTCCACTGAAAAAATCTGTTAGCAGTTAATTTTATTGTTGAACCGAGCTTTTATTCTTGAGATCATCAAAAGACTCCGCGAAGATTTTGCGATTGCAAATCACGATTTTGCAGCAATAGCAAGAGACAACTAATTTTGAAGTCTCCTCAACTGCGACAGAAGGAGACCTTCATAATTTTTCTGTGATCGTGGGAGGAGAAACTGTGATGCAGATGGTCATTATGTTGAGGCATCATGTGGCATGAATGTTGAGTACATGATTTCACTGTAATCGCATGGGACATGGGACGCTTACAATTTTGTCATGACTGAGTAAAATTTTCTGTTCACAATTTCACCACGATTGCAGAACTTTTTAAAGCAATTTGAATTTGCTCTGAGACCAGAAGGTCAACTTTAAATCAGACCCCTAATATTGTTAAAAAGAAGTAAGATAGCCTAACATAAAATCACTAATACTCTCCTAGCCTCCAAGGTGTATTCAACGATTGGATCAAAGAAAAAGAAAACAAAGGGTCTAATGAGTTGAAGCAATACCTTGTGTATTTTTTAACCCACTACGCTCGTTACCAAAGTATCAGAATAGAGGAGCCGATCTGGAGTGAGCTACATAGATTCTAAGTTTGGCTCTGGCTGCACAGCTGTAAATTCACCTTGTTTTGTTACAGTTTGGAGTTGCCGTAGTCATCACCAACCAAGTGGTGGCCCAGGTAGATGGAGCTGCGCTGTTCTGTGCTGATCCTAAGAAGCCTGTTGGAGGCAACATCATGGCTCATGCATCAACCACCAGGTCAGTGCTCAACATTTATAAAATATTGCTTAATTGGAAGAAATATCAACAGAGCATTGTAGTTATTTTATTTTTAAAGTAAGTTTCTCATTAATGTGGTACCCCTCTTATCCATTTGGCGCAAGTTCGAGTTGAGATAAAACACCTAAAAGGTTGAATAATATAAATTTACCATAATATCAGGAGGTCCAATAAATTTATCTACATTGAGGGAAACAATATGTGCACTGTTTCCCATGGTTCAAAAGTCAATTTGTTCAGTTATCTTCTTCCAAAACAAACACATTACTATATTGAATAAGTATTTAAATTCAATCATACACAATATCTTGTTAACAATAAAAAAAACAGTCAAGATGTTGTGAATCGTTTTCTGTGGGCCAAGCTTCCTCTCATTTGTTTATCTGTCACTATGGATGGATGTATCCATTGTTGTCCATTGTTGTGATTTTATATATCACAACAATAAGGTGTGAACACTTATTTTGGCTAAATGGGATGATATGAAAGTGGTGCACCTATGAAAATATTGTATGTAGACCTAAAATGATTGTATGTTTAAAAGATACGCTCACTTATAAGTGCATTTATTAAAAAAAATATCAAAATTGGAATTAAATTGTTATATAAAACAAATCTTACAACAAAGGGTACTGTAATATATAAAACACCACTGATTGTTTTAAATGTCAGATAAAAAAGATAAAAATAGCCCAAATGGTTCAATTATAGAGTAATGTCTCTTTACCTGCAGCTCATAAAATATTATATTTCACAGTGAGCATAAAGAAACAAATATTCTTGTTTTCACTACCTCTCTTTAGTTCATGACACATAGCCTTATTGTTAACGATCACACAAATTTCATGAATTTACATATTATTTTAACAAATAACATACTAACAGCTGGTTTAATTTGGCAACTCTTATCGGTAAGTGTCACGTTGCCCGTTTCAATAATCCAACGCACTTACATTTACATTCATATTGATTATACAAAAAAAGTGTTGGAAACAACAAACAAACTTCACCTGCAAAAAACTTAGTTTCAAAATATTTGGTTTAATTTATATCAAGCAGCTGTGTAGCATAACACAACCACTAAATTAATCGCAATGTATAAAAAATTATTCGCCAAAGTTATGTTAAAATAAGAGTAAATAGTTTTCCATCATCAAAGTATGTAGAGAAATCACACATAAAACACAGGTAATAAAAGGCTTTGGATACAACAATAGGATGCAAAATTAAGGTATTCTTCTGCTTGTTGCAATTCAAAATAAATGATGATTTTAAGGTATAATCAAAATTCAAAATACATGCCAAGTAGTTTATTCTGTAAACTAAAATATATCACAATAGTTCCAAACTAAGTAAGATTTTAAGAGTATAAGAGTATTTTTAAGAGTAGGAGTATAAGATTTTTGGTAAATAAATAAAACTGTGCAAATGGGTTAAAGTTCTGAGGTGAGAGTTTTAAAAGTAAATATTGATTGGGCTCCATGGCAACAAAGAGCAAACTCACAATGTCTATAAATCATTGATAAAAGAAATTATCCATTGATGTAGAAACTTTAACCCATTTGCACCGTTTTATTTATCTTATCTTATCTTACTAATCTTACTAATATTATAAATGTGAAAGTTTGTGTGTTTGAAGTTCAATCACGCATTAACTACTGGACGGATTGGGCTGAAATTTGGCATGATGATAGCTCACATTCCCAATTAACATATAGGCATATTCTTATCTCAAAAATCCTTTCGGGCTCCGCCCCAGTGGCTCTGTAGTTCCCCATGTTAACCTTATGAGTATTCATATTTAAAGGGAATTAAAGAATTTAGTCAGCTGTTTCAACAAAAAAAGTTTGTTCTATGATATACAAAAGCATTAAAAAGTTATAAGATTTACCAACTTATATTTTTTTGCATTTATGAAAACAGCTAATTTGAACTAAGCAGCAACAAAAAACTGTGATACACAATGAGAACTAACTGTCAAAGTACAGTACAATTGTTTACAGTTATGTTTATGTTTTTAATTTCATGAATGATTTGTGATATTTTGCAAATTTTTGATAATTTATTTTTTTCTATTAGGTGAAGTGGTAGAACATTATGGCTATGGTAGATGTGTAATACTATAGAATACTGTAAATTTAAAGAAGCAAATTTTATCAAACTGTGTCCTCCCTCATTGCAAATGCAATGCTGGAGTATAACTGCAATAAGCATTTTATACTTATATGCCAACCCCGTACGAAGGACACCCACTCTGCTAGTTTACCAAAACTCCCAGTATCACTGAAACATTAAAAATAAAAAAATATGCATTTGACTATTTTTTATGATGATTTATAGTATTTCATAGCTGAAAATAATAATAAAATTTATATTTTTATATTATTTTGAATTTTGTATGTATATTTAATTATTTATATGTATTTAGGATTAGGATATGTTTACACTATTTTTATATATACCTAAAAAAATAGGTAGGTACATATACCTGTCTGAAAAACTATTAGACTATTTTTTATTTTGTTTTGTAGTATTTTATAGCTGAAAATAATATAAAACATATAATGTATATAAAGTTATATATTTTATATATATGTATGTATTTGGGACACGTTTTCACTATTTTTCATACTTTTCATAAAAATAGTTAAATAGCTGCCTGTATTACGTAAATATGAAATCATTCTAGGGACATAATATTTTGATGAACAAATTTAAATATTACATGTACAGGGTGGCGCAGATGGATCGGGTGGTTTTAAGATACTTGTAAAACTGTCAATTTTAAAGGTATTGGATTGAAGTAAAGTGCAAAACGAGTAGTTACAATGGAAGTTTATTGACAAAAAATTAGTTAAGTTAGTTTTTAAAAATTACATCCATCAAATGCCTTCCTTCTCGAGTGACACATTTTTGGAGTCGATCCTTCAGGTTCCGCATTGCTCGCTCAAGCACATCACCAGCAATTGAAGTGATTTCGTTGTGAATTGCAGCCTTCAACTCCTGAAGCAAGGGTCTACATGAACAAACCCCGGACCATTCAGGAGTTAAAGGCTGGAATTCACAACGAAATCACATCAATTCCTGGTGATGTGCTTGAGCGAGCAATGCGGAACCTCAAGGACCGACTCTAAGAATGCGTCGCTCGAGAAGAAAGGCATTTGATGGATGTAATTTTTAAAAACTAACTTAACTAATTTTTTGTCAATAAACTTCCATTGTAACTACACGTTTTGCACTTTATTTCAATCCAATACCTTTAAAATTGACAGTTTGACAAGTATTTTAAAACCACCCGATCCATCTGCGCCACCCTGTATATATTGTAAGTATAAATGGTTCATTTATTGAAAAAACCATATCTTCTAATTTCATGGATGACGTACCAGTATGTCAGCCGTGATACTGTACATCACTGACTTGACGTACTGGTACGTCATCCGATGCAAATGGGTTAAAAGTCCATGGGGCAGGGTCCTAGGTCAATATCGAAGCGGTAATAGTTTTATACATGTATTCTCGGAGCTGTAGCTTTATTTGTGTCCAATTTGAGCCCAGCCCGTTCTACCTAATACAAACACACACACACACAAACAGACAGACACCACTTTATTCTTTTTAATATTATATATTCCCTACATCAATGGATAATTTCTTTTACTAATGATTTATTCCCTGTAAAATATTATTACAGTATTTAATATGTTTGAATCAGCTGTGTGGAATTGTGAAATATGCATTTGACAGTTCTTCTTGTTTAAATTTAAATAATGGGAATTTGCTCTTTGTTGCCATGGAGACCAATCAATATTTACTTTTAAAACTCTCATCTCACGGGCCCTATTTTTGAAATGTTTGAGGGTTGAGTCAATCGTCAACACTTAACTCAACCAACAACAGGATTTGGTATTTTTGAAATCCAACAGTTGAGAAGGGAGTTGGTGATCACTAGTTGAGTAACTCCAAAAGCGGCAACACCGTACGAAATACAGATTACATCATTTTGAACCAATCACAGTGAAGAGTGGCTTGCAAGCTTCGAGCTAACCTCTCACTCTAAATTCTGGATGGATCCTTTTCTCAGCTAATCTCAATCTACCATATTTCAAGACACTGAGGTATAAACTGTCAGCTCCGTCCGTGAGAGATTGAGGTTATGTCTTAATCTTAGTAATTGCAAAAGTACCTTGTTTAAGTATTCAAAATAAAATTTACTATGGATGCTTGTTTTAGGCATCATGAGTATGCTAAGTTATTTGCTTTCTTTGTCTCTATTTAAGAACACATCACCTTATTTTAGTTCCCTTCATCGTTTTGTTTCATGTTATTTTTAATTGTGTTTGTATTTAAGTTGAAGTTTAAATGGATATTTGCCATTGCACTGAAAGCATACCGTAACTTAAATAAATTTGATCCCTTTACAAGGTAAATTATGGTATTGAAACAAACTAACTATGATATTGTTCTCTTTACCACAATCTTTAATAAATCATAATAACAAGGTTCAATTAGTAGGCCTAGTCTATTTCAAAGTATTTCAAACATCCCAACAAGGATACAACCCTTGATTTGGTAGTCTAGTATTAATTGACACTGTAAATAAAAATGCAATTTATTCTACAGAAAACAATCTAATAAAGTTATTGGGTGCTATGACAATGACAACAAATACCTAACCTCTAGTCGCAATTAGTAAGTAGTAGTAAACAAAGCAATATCAATATGGTGCCGACTTAAATAGAGCAATTTTTGCCGAGAGAGGAAGAAGAAAAGTGCAGTCAACCGTCCACTCAACAGCTCAATAGGTGGTGAGTAGTTTTGGTTGGATAAGGCAACTGTCAATCGTTTGAAAAATACAAAAAAATTGGAAAGTTAGTGACTCAACACTCAAATCAACAGTCAACCATTTCAAAAATAGGACCCCAGAACTTAGAAAGCCTACGAGGCAGAGTCCTAGGTCAATATTGAAGCGGTAATAGTTTTATATGTATCCTCGAAACTGTAGTTTTTGCAATAAGCCTGTACAAACATAAACACAGACAGACAGACACTAACTGTTCAGTAAAAGGCCAGCTGACCATATGAGCATATTAAAATAATCCCCACATGTCAACAACAATACAATAATAAAAATTTGAAAATGTAAACATTCCAAGGTAAACATTCTGGTTCAAAAAGTGCAATTTTTTCTCTCTCTTAATATCGTTTCTTTGTGTAACAGAATTCATTTCTCTCTCCTTTTATTTTGACTTATTTCATTTACCTTTTCCTTTTGTGTTCATTAAATAAACCCTTTTTAATTTGACTCTTAATTCTGTGTACCTATTGTGAGAACATTTGGACATTAATGAAACATATTATCTTCTCGACTAGAGTCAACATTCGACCAGATCTTCTTTCAAGACCTTAATAACGTCAAAGTGGTAACATAACTATAGTTCAGTGTTAAAAATTATACCAAAAGTCCATTATCTTCTGTTGTCAAAATTAAATTAATAACCCATATACAGTCCACTTTATTATTTCTACAATAACCTTTTGATTACGCTACACTAACTTTTCTTTATATTATAGATCACACATTCAAGGGTGTATTTTGATTCCTAAATTCTAACTACAAAAAATTTTATTACAATTTTGTTTACAATTTTTATTTTAGATTGTACCTGAGGAAAGGCAGAGGAGAAACAAGAATATGCAAAATTTATGATTCACCTTGTCTTCCAGAGTCTGAAGCTATGTTTGCTATCAATGCAGATGGAATAGGAGATGCTAAAGAGTAACTTAATTAAATCTGCTGATTGTGGCAGTTCAGATGTGCATTATCTGTTGTATAAAACAAATGGCTTGACCATGCTTAGTGCCTCAAGATTAGCATGAGCAAAAATATTGAATACAGTATTATTTTCAGTTATTATTGAAATAAAACACGGATCAAGTGACAGAATCAAACATTAACTTTTTTTCAATAGGCCTAATAATATTTCTAAGTTATATTCTCTCCATTATAAGTTGACACACACTGATGTTTGGTGTATACTACAGTACTACCTAATACGTTTTTTGTTATATGAAATATTGTAAAAGCATCTGAATTACTTAACATGTGTTCATAATGTTGATCGATAAGTTATTTGTAGAATTTTTATTTGTAAATATGTTAATTATTATGTAAAAAATATATTTTTAAATGTGTTTTATCTGATCACTTGTTTTATTTAAACAAAACCTTTGAACGCAGATACTTTTTGAAGCCTTGGAAGGTTTCATTATCCAGGTTGGTTGTTGGTTTCAGTCTCATTGATCCAGTACCTTTCTACATCTGCTATATTGCTAAATAAGTTAAGTCACTTAACTTTGCTGACTATAGGAGCAAGGCCACACTAAAAAAACAGGCCGTAATGCTCGTCCAGCATGACGTCACGATAGAAGACGTAATTTTGCCGTTTGTGATCAGCTGCTTGTTTTAATCTTTCATTGGAAAATAAATAAATAAGTACTTATATGTCATAGCCGTCTTCTATCGTGACGTCATGCTTGGTGAGCATTACGGCCTGTTTTTTTAGTGTTGCCTTGGTAGGAGTGTTGGATATTCCATGGCAGGATGCATTGGTATTAATTTGTAATTGCAAATCTAGTGCACTAACACTAACATGATTGATATATTTAAAAACTGTGCAATCAAGCATTGATTTCTATTTCAGTATTTCACCATTAATTCTATCTAACACGTTTTTTTGCTTCATTACCTGTGTGATGATGCAGCGTATTGTTTTAAGCTGATGTTAAAAGTGCAGTTTAAGTTGGTGTAGTTCCTACTGTAGGTTGAAAGATCCCACTTACCATATACCCATACAGTAAAGGGCTAAAGACCATGCAGTTAATAAAAACAATATGGATGTTAACTGCAGCCTTTCATGGTGAGGCAAATTTTTTTTCATGCATTTGGCGCAGTAGACTGTTGTATGTTGGTGTTCTGAATAAGACCATTGATAAGAACATTTCCAATCAATCAATGATCTTGGATTTGGATAATGTGTTGTTGAACTGGCTGACGTTTTGACTAATTCCTGTGCAGTTACTGTAGATCTCGAAGATGGATTGCTGCAACAAATCCAAAATGTCAACCAGTATGTTCAATAGTTAAAATTGTGTTCATCTCCCGAAGAACAATCAGCTGAGGTCTTTTCTGGTTATTTATGAGATATTTTAGTTCTGTCAACTTTATTAGTTTTAGTTTATATTGTGACGACACTCCAATCTTTTGTAACTTGTGTATTATAAAATGTGATGAGTTAATAAAGAATTTGAATTTGAACAAGATGCAACAAAGCATTGTTGAGTGATCCAGTATAGTATTGTCCCAGTAGTTCTTATTGTTGCCCATTTGGCATTTGTGAAGTTCTTAACAAACCCAACAGAAGATGATAATCGAGTATCATCTTTCCTCAGTGGCAACTCACATGGTAGCTCTACTTTCCTGAAAACAACTTAGCAGCGCTACGTGACACTATCCAATTTAACACTGGGTTTGTTTCTTATCTTGGTTCCTGAACCAAATTGGATGTGCAGACCAATAAGTTTTACAACAGTAGTGATATACTGTAATTGATTCCAACCAGCCCGACTATTTACTTAAGTTGTTGAAGTAGCATCAGATAAGTGATAGTTGTTGTAAACATCTGAAACAAAGGAAAAGGAATAACTCATAAATCCAACACCCAATAAACCTGGTTAAACAGAATGGTGAGTTTGTGGTTCAGTCAGAGGTGTAATGGACCTTAGAACCATGGCAGTGATGTCGAGGGTTCGGATCCTTGTACCTGTCATTAGATTTGATCAGTGCAGTTCAACTCTTGCACTGTACCAGCTCACCCCTTGCTTTGCTGGATATGTTCCGCCAACCTCTTTTAAAATAAAATGTATCAGCAATCTGACACATACTTTCTACCATTAGCTTGTTAACCTTTATAAGGGGTAAGGTAAGTGAGTGGAAGTAACTTTGACATTTTATAGGGGAAAACACAAAAGCTGCAATAACTTTTGAACCATAATGTTTACACTACTGGGGGTTGAGCCATTTAGTTTATAATTAAATAACCTACCAAACTTCAATCAGAACCGTTCGGGCCGTTTTTGTTAAAATTTTATTTTTCCGTTTCTATGGAGAAATCTCCATTAAAAATCCAAATTTCAAAAAAAGTCAGACCACAGAAAATGATCTGTTACCATATACACTTCCACAGGCAAACACACTTCCGCCCTTCGGAAAATATGTACCCGCACCCTAGCATATTTTCCGTAAAAACGTTTCAGTACTTTTAAAACCAAACAATTACGATAAAAAAATAGTCTGAGTAATAGAAAATATCTAATTTAAATGCGTAGTTTAACCAACGATATAAACACTCATGGATCACTGGCTCAGTGTTGGCCGCGCGGTCCGGCGCTCCCCCACTCTCCACTGGCAGAAGCCGGCGCAGCCCATACACTCACCGCATAAAACACACCTTTTTAGATGTTGCTCTGTTTAAATATGTAGAGATGAAAAATTGCTAATGCATGTCAAACTCTTTTTACGATTAAAAACTTAATGTATGTTTTGTTTCTTGCATAGAATAACCCATTTGAACTCTTTAAAACTACACATTCACTAAACTTGATTTGAGATGTTTTTCACACAACTTACATAACAACTATAGTTCAAAACTATACATGGTAAAATAATAAGTAATTGCAAAGAAAGGATAGTAAGTACAAAATTTATCATTTCACACTCGATTTATTAATGAAAACAACATTAAATATTTTTTAATAAAATAATTTTGGTGAGTTTCTGTCGCAGACCTATGTTAGGCGTAAACGTGATACTTTTTCGTTTAGCTGAGTGGTGGCAATATATTTTAATAAAAAGGTCACAAAAAACCTAAATAATTGCAATTCATGGGTGTCTTCCCCAAAAGAAATATTCTCGACGTGCCCCTAAAAAAAAGTGCCCAGCCCACAAAAAGGGAACACGCGGCAACAAATAGTCTCTTTTTGTGTTAAAGTTTCCTTTATGTTGAAGCTGACAAGTTAATACATTGTAAACGTACTTCACTACCTTAAAAACATCTTCGTGTGCCCTAATAAGCTTACCTTTAGTTACATAATCAGTCAGTTGAGTATAATAACTCAAATTGTCTTTTTCTTTTTTTAGTAGGGATTTATTGCACGAGATGTGAATAGGGACATTATACCTAATGAATATCAACCCGACCTACCATCATAACCCATAGTGTTGACTGACCTCTGAGAAAATAAGCCCGGACGCATTTATTTCATTGTGCATGTTTCACAATGTACAGTTTTAGTTTAACCCTAATAAAAAAAAAACAAATTTCAGTTAAGTTAAACATGCTGTAACGAGTTAAGGAATCACTTACTCAAACACCTTGTTTATAATCTATTACTAGATTAGGTACACATGATACAAAATGCCACTGCCTATCTGTACTCTGTTGGTACAGTTGTAAGCGGAACGAGACACAATCATTTTAAACACATTCTTAGTGTACAATTTAAGATATTGATAAATTTTAATCACAGTTTTAAAAAAACCGCACACTGTTGTTACATCAAACAAGTGTTGAAATGGGTGACAGCTAGCATGCACGTGAGGTACGCCACCGCTATCTTGCCAGTAGAGAGTGGGGGAAGCGAGACCGAAAACAGCGCCCGCTACGCCACTGAGAGCGCAATCCAGTAGTTCTTTACATCGTTGAGTTTAACACGTACAAACTACAACACAAGGCAACGTCGACTGCAGTCAACAATATAACACTTGACGCGGACACATGATGCTTCACTGCAGCACCACTAAAGGTCATAAACACTCCTGCACCCCCTCCCTCTCGCCTAGCCCCGAAAGGAGGGTATAGAGGATAGAGTGTTAATAGAGGTATAGAGGATATATAGGAGGGTATAGAGCCCCAAGGATATAAAGGAGTGGGGCGAGGGTGCCTAACCTGAGTGGTGAGTGTCGAGTTGTTGTAGTTTAGTGCTTTTAAGGTAAGAAAAAGGAAATTAGTTTTATTTATGTTGTTTAAAGTCTGATCAAACAACGAACTTCTGAAGATGACCTGCCCGCAAGGAGTCCCAATTTCATACCAAAATTGATAAGACGATTGACGATTCCCGGACCAGTTTTTTTACCAAATACAACGTCGGCAGTGTGTTGTTTACAGTACAATACGAGCTACAAGGCATAGAATTATAGAACTGTGACAAAGCAGCTCATGACGTTAGTTAGCCAAATGCCAAGTGATTGTAATTTAAATATCTAGGGCAATGTGAGATTAGAACATTTCTTTGTAGGCCCCTAGTTTTGTAATTGTTTTCCAAGGGAGTCCATACTCCATGGAGGCTAACGGCCATCTTGGATTTGCCTGCCATAAGAGCAATGTTAATTTTGTTAATGATTTCAAACAACTACTGCAGAGTCATTTACCATCTCATAATTTTTTAAATACCAAAGCGATTTTAATCTAGGGCACTTTACTGTGAAGGTTACAAATTTTCTTTGTAGTGTTGTATTGTTTTATAAGCAGGAGTTAGTTGAGCGTTTAGGCTCCAAACAAACTATTCTATAGTATATTCTGCGTTAAGGTAATATATCTTGGACAATATGCCAAAAGATAAAAAAAGGTTATTTTGAAAGCGATAAAAAAAGTTCTAAAGTAAAATTTTATATATTTTACCCACTCTCCACGTTCTAAAGTTAGGTGCCAGAATTCATGTAATCTTTAGAAATGGTAAAATAAAACAAATGGTAGACATGGTTAACAGTTCAATAACGTTGGTGTTTAATGAACATGTAGCAACACGTAACGGAAGTAACGAAACCTATAAAAATTCATCAATAAATGAACAAGCAAATCATACAGTTTTCTTGTGAGAGAATAGCTCAAAACACGTTTTTAAGATTATTTTTTCAAACATTTTCCGAGGGAGGACCCCCCTGCCCCCCTACCACACACACCGACATCTCTTCAAAACCCGCTTTTTGGGTAAAGGGGACCCAAAACAGACATTTCCCTTTCAGCCCTTTCTGAAAAAAATTTCAATCTTAAGTCGTAAATATTTGTTTTTTTTATGATCTTCAAACATATTTGTTAAATCGTCTACTTACCGAAGTAATGAGAGAAAAGTCAAGGTCAAACATCT